ATTTAGCTTATTTTAAGGCCAATAAATTAGCACAAGTATAACGTACATAAAATAATTTTATGGGCTTGGGCAGGGCTTGGGATATTTTTTAAATCTTATAGCGGGCTTGGGCCTAAATTTTTAAATTCAAATTTAGCTTATTTTAAGGATATTTAATAGAACAAATATAACAAATACAACTTACATTTAAAATATAGAAATTTGAATTTTTTCTCATTTTGGCCAATAAATTTGCATAAGTTAAGTGTACATAAAATAATTTTATGGGCTTGGGCCGGGATTGGGATATTTTTTAAATCTTATAGCGGGCTTGGGATTTTTTTTAAATATTAAAAGCGGGCCGGGCCTGGGCTTAAAATTTTTTTTTACGATAAGCCTGGGCCCGGCTTGGTCCTAATAGGCCCATGAAGGTCTCTAATTCATAATAGGAAAATACTTTATCAAAATCTTTAGCCCACAACATCTTGGGCAACTTTTAATAATGTATTGTAAACTTAAATTTTTAAGATAACCTACCCCTTTTAACCACTATAAAACATATTTTAATATGTTTAACAAAATTTGTTGAAGCCTTAATCCATAGTTCTTAAATGCCAAAAAGGCTAATTATATTCATATATAGGAAAATATTTTATCAAAATCTTTACCCATATCATCTTGAGCAACTTTTAATAATGATAGACAAAGACAATATTGTAAACTTAAAATTTAAAATAACCTATATGAACCTTTTTTAACCATGTATAAATTAAATAATATACTTTAATATGTTTAACAAAATTTGTGTTGAACCCTTTATCATTTTTTTGTTAATATAGGTTTTACATTCAGCCTGTACATTGTCTTTTTTAACTTTAAATTTCCATATAAAATTTTAAAAATGAAATTTGATTCAGGAGAAGTTATTTACATCCAACTTTGATACATACTATTTTTTTCTTTTATAAAGAAAAAGCACAGTGAATTTAAAAATGAGATTACCAAACACCTCAACGAATTCTCTACACAAAAAAATATATCGCAGCAAAACCAAAGTGGTTCTGGTAGCAAATCCAGACAATCTAAATTAAATTTTAACAATCTAAACATTCCAGCTGTTTCGCAAAAAACAGCAGATAAAATTATCATGGATTTTATTATTGACACTTTCCAACCACTGTCTATGGTTGATGATCCAATGATTAAAACTTTTTCACCTGCGACAAAAATTATTTGTCGCCAAACACTGGGCAACAGGATATCTGCTTCCTTTACAGATATGATGACAAATCTTATAATAGATTTGTCTGAAGTTTCTTATATATGCACCACTGCTGATTGTTGGAGTGGTCATCGAAGGTATATTATATTTATATAAATTTTATAATGTTTATTTTATTAGGGCTTTTATTGGACTTACTGCACATTGGCTGGATCCGTTAACCCTCAAGAGAAGGTCAGCCGCTTTGGCAATGAGGAGGATAATTGGGAGGCAAACATATGATGTTTTGGCCAACGAAATCATGGGTATCCACAAGTTCTATAAAATTCATAATAAGGTGGTGAGGATGGTGACTGACAATGGAACCAACTTTGTCAAGGCATTTAAGTAATATTTATATTTAGCAAAAAATATTTAAATAAATTTATTTTTCCTAGAGTTTTTGGATAAAATGAAGAAGAGAGTAATGAGGATATGGAATTGATAAATTTGGATGACATATTATCCGTTGATGACCCAATTATTTCTACTATCAGCCTACCAAAACATCAACGTTGTTGTTGCCACAATCTTAACCTTATTGCAACAACAGATGCAGAGATGGCAGATAGTGACCTTAATTACAAACGAATATCTCGATCAACTTTTGCAAAATGTTTTGCTTTAGAGCAAAATATGTCGTCAAAAATGTCGGATATTTTGTTGGAGAAATTAGGGATATATTTAATAGCTCCTAACAAAACTTCTGAAAGGTTTTCAGAAGTGGAACAAGTATTTGATCAAATTGGATTTACAATGTTCAGGCAAGATGAATGTTTTTTTGTTAAAGAATATGCAAAAGTAATACAATAATATTTTCTAAATAAATTTAAATTTTATAGGTTATGGAACCTTTGGCTATCTCTATAAAAATCTTTGAACGGGAGGATGATATGGAGCAGGGATATCTAACTCCCGTTCTATCGATATTAATAGATAAATTAACGAAGTTTAGCTGCCTGCGGTATTGCCAGCCCCTTGTAGATAGTGTTCTAAGAGGTATTGATATAAGGTAATATTTTTTTATGCAATTATTTTATATTATCAGACATCTGCAAAATATATTAAAAAATTGCAAAGATCTGGCAAATTTAGTAAAATATTTTTAACAGGCCAGTTCTACTAAACCTCTGATATCTAGTAAAATATTAATGGGCCTTTGAAGACATTAAAAATTGATTAGATTATTTGAATTTTAAGCTAATATTTTGACTAATATTCTTTGTAAATAAATTACAATGTTAATTTCTTTGTATATTAAGTATTAAGCTTATTTTTAATTTAATCAATATTTATGATCTGACCCAAATATAAATAAATACCATACAGATGATGTGTTAGACTTGACTGTAAAATTTAAAAGGGTTAAGTTATGCAGATACTTGATTTGATTTATATAAAATGAACACTTATTTAATAATAAATTAATTATCATTTCATAATATAGATTTCCTTCACTGTATGAAGACAGTAATATTTTGGCAGCCATGATTCACCCTAAATTTAAACTCAATTGGCCCTATATTAATCTGCCACAAAATATGATGGTAAAAGAACGATTAATTGCTCATTTGGAAAATATCCAGGAACAACCATCTGTGGATACCTCAAATGAATGTATGGATGACATTGATGCCTTTTTTGGGAAAAATACTGTACAAAATGGTTGTTCCGTTAAAAAATTTTTTTATTCAAATGATGATTCCATGAATATTTTTAATACTTATATTAATTTTAAAAAAATATTTATTGAATATAATACACCTTTGCCATCAAGCGCTCCTGTGGAGCGCTTGTTTAGTAAAGCTAAACATGTTCTAAATGATAGACGCGGATGTTTAAATGATGATAATTTAGAAAAAATTTTATTAATAAAAGCTAATTTTAATTATAAATAAATATATTATAATTGTTATACATTTAGCATATTTATTATTCAATTACAATAAATTTCTATCATATTTAATTTATTTTTATATTAGTTAATTTTGCATCGGTTTTATTATATTATTATTCAATAACAATAAATTTATACCATATATTAGTTAATTTTGCATCGGTCAGAAATTTCCTTCAGAAATTTAAATAGAAAAAAAGGTCAATCCTGGATTTCGATCATCTTTTTTTTGAAAAGATCGTGATCGGGATTCGATCGTTTTAAAAAGATTGGTTAACAAGCCTGCCAATATATTTAACTTACTTGTAGGCCGTGCATTTTCTAATAAAGTTAGATTTATTAACATTAAGTGGAATTTTTGTATATTTAATCATTTATTTTGAAAAAATTATCACTAAAAATATTTATAAAATATAATATATATTGTTAGTTAAAGAGGTACTTCATAATACAAGAAATATTTCTTTCTTTTCAAATTAAAATGAAATATTTTCAATTTGACAGCTACATTAAAATCTGACGATTAAATTTGAGAAAATCTAATCCATATTGAATTTGTAATGTGAGATTTTAAAAAAATCCATGATATTTTGAAATATTGAATAGCCGTGAGATAATATTTAAATGGCCCCCAATGTATTTGAAGCGATAAAAAACAAAATCTCATGAAATCACTATCACAAGGTATGAGCCATGAGATTTTGATGACCCACTACACCGGTGCTTTCAACGTGATATGGTCGTAATCGAAAGTTATACTTTTAAATTTTTTATTTAGGTGAATTATAATTTTTTAATGTAAAATATTTAAGAATTACAATCTATTTTAATAACAAATAATTTCGGTTTTAAACAAAAATTATTATCTTAAATAAACAAAATAATTATTTTATATTTTACCTTTATTTATTACTTTTTTATAATATATTTATTTATAAAGTGAAAAAAATTTATGCCATCTAGCAGATTAAATAAATATTTAAGTGAAATAAACAAATTAAAAATAGTATAAAATAATTAGAAAATTCTGAAAGATATCTTCCTTTTTGTTAGATTTTGATGTTGATTATTATAAAAAAAAGGAAGATTAAATATTAAAATATATATAACATCAAACCTTTTTTGTATTTAGAAGTACGGGTAACTTTATTTTGAAATAGAATTAATTGAATAATAATTGGTGAGTAAATATTTAAAATGATTTGGTTTCGTATATATATCTTTTTTCTTTTAATATTCAAATAACATTTTTTAACCAAAAAAAATTTGAATAACCAAAGAAATTAATAATTTTTACATATACTAACAATTCCCAACTAAAATTATTATATAATAATAATAATAACTAATTATAATATTCAAATTATAAAAAAAAAAGGAATTCATTATTTAAAAAAATGAATAAACACCACAATAATACCTAATTATAATATTCAAAAAAGTAATTACATAACAATATAAAAAATTAATAAAAAAAAGGAATTAATTATTTTAAAAAATGAATAAATACAACACTTTTTACATCTAATAAATCATCTATTTTTTGAGAGTTTATTTATAGTTTTTATAAAATTATTTTTATATGTAAATATTTATCTTAAATATGACTATAATTGTATTTAAAATTATTCTATAAGTGTCCAATATATATACTGTCAAAGAAAAGAAAGAAGCTCTGTTATAAAATTTTGAGAATAGAATTTTTTCACACTTTTAAATATTTTATTTCTTTTTATTCTTTCACGTCATAAAATATAAAATGAAATATTCACCGATTTTTAACAAAATATTATATATTTCTTTTTAATATTACATTTTTAACAATTATTTTTTTATATAATACAACATATACCTTACAAATTTAGTCTCAGGTTCTTCGCAGAACGAATAAATCTTTCGCCTTTTACTAAAGATTTCCTTGCTAAGGATAAACGAGTTATTTCATCTATTGAAAATTTTTATCCCTTTTTCAAGGGAAAACATTTTCTCAATCAATTTAGAAATTTTATGATTTTCTTATCAAAAATCTTGAAATATTAAACAGAGACCTGCAGGCCCGGCCCTACGCCCTGCCTGGGTTTTAATTGTTTTTAATTCACCCAGGCCGGGCCTATATTTTAAAATATTTGAAATCGCCATTATTAGTTGTAAAAATCAAAAATAAATAAAATATATTTAAAAAAAATTCGGGCCGGGCTGGGCCGTACAAATGCCATCTCTGCAGATATCTGATTACACATAAAAAAAAGGAAATTTTGCGCATTTGAAATTTTTATTTTTGTAAATATACCTTGTTTATGATATAATTCTTATTTATTGCGAATTCCGTCTAAAACATATTTTGGTAAAATTTTATAAAGTGTAATAAAATTTCGCCTAACTATTTTTTGTAATTTATAATTCGTTTATCGAAAAAAATTTCAATTACACAATTAACAAAATAATAATATATTTTATTTTGAATTAATGGTTCAAGGTAATGATTTATTAAATATTATATTTTCTATTAATAATAATTAAATATTTAATATGAAGAAGATTGACAAAAAAAAATTTAAATGAGCCTGCTAAAATCTTTAATATAAATAATTATAATTTATTATATTTTAAATTCGCAAAAATAAAATATAATTTATGTTATATTTAATTACTAAACTCAAAATGGCTTTTAAAAATTTATTTAATATATTAAAGAATTTTTACTAAAAAAAAAGAACATATTGATGAATTGTCAAAACTGATACCAAAAGAATCCTAAACAGATGGTGGCAGGCGCGTAACCAATGGGGGGGAAAGGGGGAAATCCCCCCCCCCCCCCACTGTTTTTATAAATATCATTTTAAGCTAATAAAAATTTTACCCTCCACCCCCTCCCCCCTCTCCCCTCCCCTACAATCAAAATTTTACAAATATTTGAAAATCCATTTTCCAACATCACTTATTTTTTATAAATAAATTTTATTAAAATTTACTTTCCTTGTGAGTACATTAACATTATTCAAAAATATTAATAAAATGGAAAAATTTTAATTTCAAAGAGATTGAAATCAAATGGTAATTTATTTTATTATTATTTAAATTCAAAATTATTAGTAAGTTAGAATTAATAAGTATTTTTAATATTAATTATTAAGAAATATCTATAATTTTTTAAATATTTTATTTTTACTTCGATTTTGTAGAACAGAAGAAATAGAAATACAAAAGTTAAATAAGGCTGAGCATGAAAAAAAGTAATGTGTCGTCAGAAGCGATATTGAATTCAATTGATTAATCAGACTTTATCATTTCTGCTAGTTACATCAATAAATTATTTTCCTATAGCTCACTACTTTGTAGAAATTTACAGAAACCAAATTTAGATTTGGTTCAGGTTATTGATTTGGCGGAAAATATATATATAAATAGGTAGATACAATAAGAATGAATGTAGATGAAAATTTTCATAATATTTATATAGACGTTGAATCGATAAATTTTATGATATAACACTAATTAAACCTCGTCTAGCACCTGGGCAATTATTGGGATGTAAAATAAATATTGGCTCAACTGAAGAATATTATAAAATATCCACTTTCATCCCATTCTTAGATACTTTTTTATCGCAAATAAAAGTACGGCTTTTAGATAAAAAACAAGTCTTTAGCAATCTTCAAGTTTTAATACCTAAAGATCCATCTTCGTTTTCTAATGCCACTTTTGGCAAAATTAAATAGCAAAATTTTATTCCTATGATATTGATATTGAAATAAATATAATCAGTGAATTCGAATTGTGATAAATATTTAATACGTTTAGCTATTTTACCTGAGCATGCTATTGATGCGTTCAATCAGTGTAAAGAAACCTTGGCTCAAATTCCTAATATTTTGAAGATGTTTTATATCCTACCATGTTTGCCTATTATAACATGTACGAATGAAAGGATTTTCCAACTTAAGAAGGTTGAAAACATATTTATGAAGTACAAATTCCGAATCTCGGCTAAATGGGTTAACTCTGTTAAATATCCACAGAGATTTGGTTTCAAAGACAAACAAAATTCTTGATGAATTGGCAACATTCACACGAAAATTAAAAATCGCATTATAATTATAGTATTTAATAAAAAAATTTGTATAATATTGTATTTGATAAGAAGTTTAAAAAAACTTGTTTATTTAATTATTTTCTAGTCAATATTTTATAGTGTTGTTAAACCCCTTGTTTTGAGCCGATTTTTTAAAACGGCTAACTCATTTATTTATCCAGAAAAATATAATGCAAGCCTGAAAATTTTTCTCATAGATGGAGCAAAGGTCTAGACATATAGTATCGAAATTTCGAGGTTTAGTTAATATTTTTCTGGTGAAAATATTGAGTTAGCCGTTTTTAAAAATCAGCTCAAAACGAGCCGTTTAACAACATTAATATTTTATACACACTACTATTAGTATTTTAAATAAAAAAATTAAATTATACTTATATTGTATGTTTAAGCTGAGGCTAGTTTTTAAAGCATTTTATAAAAAAAATGACATTAAACTTTATTTCAACTTTACATTTAAAAAACTTTATTAAATATAATATACCTAACTAAAAATAATAAAAAATAGGCTTGAAATATCCATTAGCACGAATTAGTAAATAATAGTTACAAATAGAAATATAATTATTATTAAATTATGAATAATTAAATGGAATAGCTAAAACATAAGACCCGGCCGATGGCCGGGAGAAAGCTGGCCGAAGGCCAGATAAAGAAGGTTTGGGGGCGAAGCCCCCAAAAAAATCCCCCCCCCCTCCCCAAGAAAATTTTGGATACGCCACTGGATGGCGGTGAAATAAACAGATGATTAGCTTTATCAAGGCTTTAAGATTATAAATTTATTACAATTCGTTTATCGTGTCAAATTAAATTTCTCCTATATAATAAGTAACATATAATAAAATAGTAATTATAAAATATGTATCAATTGTAAATTATTGGATCAAGATGACGATTAATCAAGAATATTTTATTAATTTGTTGTGGCAAATACACCCATATCTGAGAAATGACTCGTAAATAATCGATATTTAATATGAAGATGGATAAAGTTTAAAAAATTAGTCTGTTGAAATCTTTAAGTAAAACCAATAATAAAAAACATATAAATAATCATCATTTTTTTATATTCTATTTTAGGTAAAAACGTGTCGAATAAGTTACTTTAAAAAAATTGAATTCTTAAAGAGATTCCTTTAAATCCCATGATGATCCCGGATAGTTCTTATCCCTATAAAAATTACTACATACATATACGAATAAAATTAAATTAGAGGAAAAGATGCCAGAGTACAAAGGGAGGGGGGATGCAAAAATTTTTAAACGGGAATATAATAAACGCTCGTTAGTGGAAAACAAAATAATTTTGAATGTTATTATCTTGAAAAATATATTAACGATTTTTCGTTTTTGCCTAGGTAATCCTAGTCAGCCAGGAGCGAACTGATCAAATTCAGAACATATCCAGGGCCTAAATCTTTATAATAAAAAAATAGAATTTACATTGTCAGCTCATTAGCGCCAAGGAACTTCCTCATTTACCTTTCACGGTTAGGATGCCCAAATTGTCTTTCTTATTATCCGAATATTTTTTTAAAATTAAAATTAATATACCGCAATGATTCGCTCATTTAGTATCCTTATATAAATTAACATTAAAGTGATTATGCTTAGAGTTGATAAACTATCATATATTGATCTCTTTTAAAAAAAAACTTTCTAACCTTGGGGGGTACTTGGGATGTGGAAAAGGGAGATTTCCCTTGTGTAGCGAATCTGTCATTTATCCTAAATATCATTCTTAAGCTAAATAAAAATTATCTCTTTACTCTTTCCCCTTTGCCCAAAATGAAGCAATATGTCATTCTTTTCTTTAAAAAGAAATTTTGATACAAGTTAATGCAGAAGCGAAAAGCATTGCCTATGTTTGTGTAGGGATTTTTAACTAGTATAGTGATTAAGCCCTGGTTATAATAAAAATCAGAAGTATTTTTTATTAAATTAAATAACAATAAAATTCCAATTTTAAAGTAAAACAAAAATTTTTCCCTTTTTTGTTCTACAAATATTTATCTTTATATAAGAAAAAATATTCAATTATGCGATATAAAAAAATAAATCTGTTTTCTTGTTAAAGTAACTGGTATATAATATAAATAAAACAAACCATCTCTTGTTAAATAAAAATCAATCCTTGCAATTAACAAAAATACAATTTAAAGATAATATAATTTTATCAACATAAAATTGTAAATTGAAAACATTTTACAGTTTGAAATTTTTTGAGAAATAAAAAAAAGTGATGTAAAAATTTAACCCGTTTGGGTGAATTATTTTTAAAAAACTGCCCAATAAATATTTTAGGCAAAATAATATAATGCAAGCCCGGAGATTTTGCTGATTGACGTCAAAAGGGTTTGTACCTGTATTTGAAAAATCTCGAGGCCTATATAATATTATTTCAGCTAACATATCAAAAATCAACTCAAAAACTAGAAAAAAAAATGCAATCAGAATGACATTCTTTCCCTATAAAAGAGCTGGCATATCTGTTATGAATAAGTTCAACAAAAAATTTAAAAAACTTTATAGCTCAAGCAAAAAAAATTTTTTTATGATTTGATAATAAATATAATTTTTGCAATAAAATATTATATTTATATTATGAAGGACACGGGAATTTCCTTACATCTAGTATTTAATATAATAAATGAGAATTTCATAGATAACTATTAAATAAAATGGGAAAAAAAGGAATACGACACCTGTAATTCCCAGGCGGTCACCCATCCTGATACAAACCAGGCTCAACGCTGCTAAACTTCGGTCTTCAAAAGGGAACTGGTGCTTTCAACTGTATTATAGTCGTATCAATTCGATGTTTTAAAATGTTTATTTACGTAAATCATAATTTTTTAATGTAAAATATTTTAAAATTACAATTTATT